TTCCTCCCACCAAGCAATCACCTCCCACCAGGTCCCTCCCTCAACACGTGGGGATTACAATTTGAGATGAGATTTGGGTGGGCCATAGAGCCAAACCGTATCAGCCGCCCAGCCAGGAGGTGCTCAGGGATATAACCTAGAGCCTTAGCACAGGATAGGGGCCTGGCCTAGGGTTGGGAGAGGGAGTTGGGGAAGGAGTATGGAACATGACACTGGAGTGAGATCTAAGTGGTGTGGTGGTCACACAAGTCACCAGGGGGTCTTTTTATTTATTTAATTTTAGACACAGAGTCTCACTCTGTTACCCAGGCTGGAGTGCAGCAGTGCAATCCTAGCTTACTGTAGCCTTGAACTCCTGGGCTCAAGCAATCCTCCAACCTCAGCTTCCCAAGTAGCTGGGACTATAGGCGTGTACTACCATGCCTGGCTATTTTTTTGTTGTTGTGGTTTGTTTGAGACAGAGTTTCACTCTGTCACCCAGGCTGGAGTGCAGTGGCACGATCTCTATTCGCTGCAGCCTCTACCTCCTAGGTTCAAGCAATCCTCATGCCTCAGCCTCCTGAGTAGCTGGGATTACAGGTGCGTACCACTACGCCCAGCTAATGTGTATATTTTTAGTGGAGACCAGTTTCACCATGTTAGCCAGGCTGGTCTCGAACTCCTGGCCTCAAGCAATCCGCCCGCTTCGGCCTCCTAAAGTGCTGGGATTACAGGCATGAGTCACTGCACCCAGCCAATTTTTAAATTTTTTGTAGAGACGGGGTCTCGCTATGTTGCCCAGGCTGGTCTCAAACTCCTGGCCTCAAGCAATCCCCCCTCCTCAGCCTCTCAACGTGCTGGGATGACAGGCATGAGCCATGGCACCTGGCAAGGTTCTGCATCTCTAACAAGCACTGGGCACTGCTGGTGCTGCCAGTTCCCAGACCATGCTTTGAGAAGCAAGGCCCTAAAGCTGCACTGTCCCATCCAGTCGCTGCTAGCCACCTGCAGCAATTTAACTTAGCAAGCAGAATGAAATAAAAGGAACAATGTAGTGCCTCAGTCGCATGGGCCACATTTCAGGTGACCAGCAGCCCATGTGGCCAGTGGTTGGTGTGTTGGACTGTGCAGACGTAGAGCAGGTTCATTGCAGAAAGTTCTTGGAGGCTGGACATGGTGCTTCATGCCTGTAATCCAAGTGCTTTGGGAGGCCGAGGCCCGAGGATCGCTTGAGCCCAGGAGTTCGAGACCAGGCCTGGGCAGCATAGTGACAGCCCCGACTCTATACAAGAAACGAAAGTTCTCAAGGATGGCACTGCCCTGGGGTTTGGAGTAGGAGTTAACCAGACAGCTCGGGGAGGAGAGAAGGGGCTTCTGCCTCAGGCTCAGCGCACACGAAGGCCACTGCAAGAGCTAGGAGGACCGTGGAATTTGAGTGCAAAGAGCAAGGAGGGAGTGAGATGGGAGACAGGGCCAGGGACTCCCCAGGCCGTGGCGGCCTTAGGGCCATGCAAGGGCCTCAGGCCAGGGGAGCGCGTGATGGATCTGTGGCAGGCTGGGCTCCGTCTGGGGAGATGGGGGTGTGGGGAATTGGGTAGCACTTTTCTCTTCATGGTGTCACTTGCTTTTCCTTCTGCATTGGCCTAGGGCCCTGGGGCCTGATTTTGTAGCATCAGCAGCTTTTCCACTGCTGTATGTCAGCCTAAGGGCCTTGTTACTGTGAGAGGGTAACGTGTGCCACACTCTTCCTCCCCAGAGGCTCCATGTCCAGCCTGGAATCCTGCACCAGCGGCTTCTCCCAGCTCAGCGCAGCCACCTCGTCCTCCTCCTCCGGCCAGTCTCATAGCAGCTCCCTGGTCTCCAGATAGCCAGGCCCAGTGTTTCAGGGCCGCCTGCTCACCTCCAGTGTCCAGAATGGAAAGCCAGCTAACTGCAGGGCCTGGAACCATGTGGGCTAGAGTCCCAGGCCTAGATGCTGCCCAAATTGGGGTGTCTGGAGTGGATGGCAAGGATCCAGGCCTGGCCCCTGTGTGGTGTCAGGGCTCTTGAAGTTGCAAGGACAGAACCATCTCCTTCTGGCTTCGCAGAAGGAAGACCAAGCCAACGCCAGGGTGTCTATGTCTACCATACCACACCTTTGGGACATCCAGGCTTAGCGATGTCAGCCAGGCCCATCTCCCCTCTGTCCACCTCTTGCTCTGCTTTCGCCATGCAGGGGACCATTGCTATTAGGTGCCCTTCTCCTCCCCGCAGCT